TTCGAATATTAAGATTTATGAAATGATAGATTAGGTCACCAAATCACTGTTATCCCGGTTGGATGGATACTGTATAGAGAGACAAATTGACAATTTAAAAATCTATGGTGAAAAGGTAGGTCTAGCAAATTACTTAAAAGGCTAGAGTTTCACTTTTCTCATTCGTTTATTGTTTTACGGTATGTCACCGAGGAGCGGAAACATGTGCGCAACAATTAATAGATTTCTGTAACTTTTTCACGAATAAATTGATCGTTTTTAAAATGCTTAATTACAGAAAGTTAGATTAATTGCGATCGTGAATTACCCAGACCAGATAATTAATCATGTGTTATTCGGAATGAATAAAATATTTCCAGCTATTTTCTCTGAGCATTTATTTGCAGCTTGTCTATATTCTGTACATCTTCGTTGCAACAATGATTAATGGTGTCTTTCCCACCGAGATGTGGCTTGACATCTTGTTTCACGCTTTTCTTCTGTCAGGGTAAATTTCCTTTTAAAGGTACTCGTAAGATATCCATGCGTTCATTTCTTGTTACAGTTTTACAGAGCTCAACGAATTGCGTCGCACGTGTAAACTTTTCGACCAAATTGTACGCGATCTTTTCAAAAAGCAAATTCACACCGGCCCATTCCAAAATCATTGGACGCTCGATGTAAATTTACAGTTTCGACTTACATAGAAATATGATTGCACATGGATGAATGCCGTATTAATTTTTTCCATGACGCTCGCTAGTTCCTCCACAAGACCCCTGAAGTTCATAATCACAATCGTGTAAATATCTTTTGGTATCATTATTACGGGATACGCGTCAAAGCCTCATTGATTTATGGACCAGTATCAAACACCGGCTTTCTTGTCTTCAGTGGACCTCCAAATACTCGCACAGCATTTAATCTGTATTCGATTAATTACGGCAGTTTTCCTGACGAGAATTGTTCAATTCGACGCAATTATTCGATTCATTACAATTTAACTCATTTCTTTGACTACTCTTATCACGACGATACTCACGAAATTTTGGGCATTCAGATTAGCGCGAAGAAACTTTTCGAGGTATTGGATGAACTGAAGAGAATACCCGAGGGGGAGGAACGCGAAATAAAATATTTGACCATACATTGGGGTAAACAGAAAGTTGGTTTAATAAAAAGAGTCGGGAAAAGTGACGTGTATTCGATGACATATCCTCAAGATGTTCCTGAATTATGTTGTATTCTATGAAATGGGTGTCACGAAGGTTGCACTAAAGTATCTTAACAATTCTAAAAATTATTGCTAGAGTATTCCTAATCGAGGGGGGAATATGCACTTCCACATGTCGGTAGCGTGATCTTTTCAGACAAGTTGCAATTAAATACTGTAGTTCAACAAGATTAGAACAAATTTCCTCGTATAAAGTTTTTTTTTTTTTCTTTTCTTTTTTTCTTCTGCGGTTGATACGCGTGAAATGTTGAAATGTGATGATGAAAACATGGAGTTGGACTTTTTTTTCTCCAAGTATTCCGGAAAGTAAACATTTTCACAAGATTTTCTGTTTGTTCAGATCATTCATGAAAACTTCCGGAATCGCGTGCATCATTCAAAATTCATGTCTTCATCGAATTCCAAATGTCCCCATTCCTATGAAAGGAATCATAATATACCGAACAAATCGCAGGAAGGATTGACGGAAACGGTGCCCTTGGATCGATGACAATGTCTCTGATTTGATGATACAATCACTGTTAAAAACTGTTAAAACGGGGCAAAATGTGCATCTTTCCCTGAACGACTTACTTCACATTCCACCACTGATTCATCCTGCTCACCTCTCCATATTCGAT